TGCAAGCCAGGGTGTGTAGCCTCTGCGGCCTGAGACCTGGTATGAAGTTCCCAGTCCCCTGCCCCCTTCTCTACCCAGGGCCCAGTGTCAGGGGCACTGGCAGGGCTGACTTCATGTTGGTGCCTGTGCGTGCGTGTGCATGTGCCAGAATTTGGGGTGTACATTGGGGGCTGGAGGTGGTGGGTACAGGGATATGCTGGGACTGATTGAAGAGCACAGGGAGAGGAGCAGAAGTAAGTCCTCTGGTCAAGCTCAGAGGCAATCTGGGAGAGGTTGTATTCTCTTATTTGTCTTGAGAGTTGGGTAGAGGAGGCTGAAGGGAGGCAGGGGACATCTGATCCTTGCTAGAGCCTCACGATAGTGCCCAGGGGTGACCGGTCTGAGGCCCTTACGCCCCTGCCCTGTCCCCCCAGGGCTGGCCAGCCGCTTCTAGCCCGTCGCTTTTCCTCTGGCAGCATGCGCCTGCGTCCCGTCAGGAGGGGCAGGCTCTACGGACTCCTCTCTCCCCCGTGCCTCGCCCCCCAGCCAGTGGGAGTGAGTTCCAGGACCTCCACGAACCTTTCAGGCCATTCATTAGCCCCCAAGGAGGCTGGGGGGGGGGGCTGGCAAGGCCTTAGAGCGGAGAGCAGATCAGAGCCTGACTCTTCAAACCATTAGGACTTGGCTCATTCAACTCTCTAGTCCTTGCCAAGAACGTGAGGGCCCTGAGGGCTGGGAGGGAGAGCTGGGGTGCTGGAGGGGTGGGGTGGGGTGTTCCCCAAAGCACGTCCTCAGGCAGTGGGGTCTGCAAGCACCATCTCTGATCTCAGCTCAGGCTGCTGCACTCTCCACACAGCCCCCCCTCCCAACACACATACACACACCCCGTCATCATTCTGTGGAAAAGTGTAAACTGCCATTTGGTAAATAACAGCCCATCTGGATAATATTTTTACACTGTACAAAAACATGTCCACACCTATTGTCTTCTCTGATACTTGCTACATCCTGTGATGTAATACCAGGGCCAGTATACATTTTTTAACACAAGAGACTGAGTTACAGAGAAAGCTCTTTTTTTCCAGCATTTTTGCCCTGGGTTACCTGGTTAGCCTGAACTGAAGGCCTGGTGATCTAACTTCCGCTGTCTTCTAGATGGTGTGCTCGACACTTCGGGGCCTTATGTTTAAATCTCAGCAGCCCTGCATTAGCCCCATTTCACAGGTGAGAGGAACGAGGCTCCGAGAGGTCAAGCCACATGCTCAAGGTCACACAGTGACAGAAATGGGTCTCATATTCTGGCTGATCCCAAATCCAGGGCTTATGCTGTGGTATTGGCAGAAGCGCCTTAACTGCCCTGGGTGGGAAAGTTATCTGAGGTGGACTGAAAGCTAGACACAGGCCCCTGCTCCCCCAGAAGACAGGCTGTGCTTTTGCTTTTTTTTGGAGCCTTACAGAAAATCTCAGTGTGACTTGGGAAAGACAGAGGGCCCCATCCCCCACAGGGCTCTGGGGAGTAGGTGGAGGTGGTGGGGACAGAGCTGAACCGGGTCTCTATTCCTCAGGACAAGTTTGAGTTCAGGTCTCAACCTGAGAGGTAGGTGCAGCAGAAGTGCTTGAGGGAGCCAGGCCCTGTGTCCTCTGGGAAAGAGAGGTCTCAGGTCTGAGGGAAAGAGAAAGGCGGGAGGGAGACCAGGCAGGCCGAGCGCCATGCCCAGCAGGGACCCCTAGCGGAACATCCATGCACACTGAGGCCACGGGGCCACAAAGACCCTGAGCAGATGCCTGAGCCAATCAGGGGGCCCCCTGTACCTGCCGGGGAAGTGGGCCAGGGAGGGTATTCACTGAGCTTCCAGCTTATTTGCATGTCCTAATTAACCATAAAATGAACCCCCGGGGCAGAGTTAAGCCATCGATCTCTGCTGACTTCCACAAGCTCCCCTTTGTACACAGTGCTCCCCACTCCTACACTCCCCTGCCTTGCGTAGGCCCCAGGCATTCCCGTTGTCCTCTCCCCTCAGCTTCAGTAAAACTGTGTCCATCACTGTCATGGCGGGAGCCCAGAAGGGGAGGGAAAAGAAAAAATGATGGAGGGGGGGCGTGTAAATGAATCGGCCATTAGCTTTCATTAGCAAAGCATGACATGATGGTTAGGGGCATTACATCAGCCCTGTCAGGACCCAGGCAGAATCCCCCCACCAGAAGTCATCATTCCACTTGCTATCCATGCCTGGCTACTATGGGAGGACAGGTTTGGTGGCTGTTCCTCCACTTGACTGGAGCAGATATGGACCATTTGTGGGGTAGTGTGAGAAGCACAACACTGGATGTCAGTTGGAACTGTTTTGGTCCCAGCTGTGCCACTGTGACCCTGGGCAAGTTGCTTAACTTCTCTGAGCCTCTCCATGAAAATAAGAGTAACAGCAGCCACCTCCAGAGTGTGGTAAGGAAATAAGAACGCAAAGATGACGATGCCAACATCTGTCAATCATGTTAGCAGCAAATGTCACTCTCGGCCGAGCGGCACGTTGGTTAAGAGCTGGCTTGGGACGCCAGAGGGCCCCGGTTCAGATCCCACATATGAGGGCCAGTGACACTGCCCTCCACAGCTAAGATGCTGAACAACAGCTCAACCTGGAGCTGGGCTGCCGTGAGTTGATGGCTACGGCGTAGGCTGGCTGCAGTGGGCTGCCATAAGCTACTGTGTGTAGCCGGCAGCCAGCATGAGCAGCTGGCAGCCAGTGTGAGCTGCGAAGAGCCGCCGTGAGTGGCCGTCCAGAAGCTGGCGACTGATCTGCCTCGCCCGGGAAGAGCACAATGACGGTGCCAACTTAGGCCAGTGAAGCAACGTCCTCCACAACTAGACTGAAGAACAAAAGGACAGCAATTTGTCTGTTCCCCTTCCCCCAATTCCCCAGCGCTGTTCCCATCCTCCCAATTCCCCAATTAAAAATCTTAAAAAAAAAAAAAAGTCACTCTCATTGTTTTGTTCTGGCCCACGTTAAAATTTCATTCCCTTGCATTCTTCTAACTGGTGGGTGACGTTGCTCCTTTCTTCCCATGGGGCCCTGTGAGTCAGGAACTGGGTCCTTCTCATTGCTGTGTTCTTTACAGCAATGTTTAGTTCCCATAGTGATCCCTGGCATTGGGAGGTGCTCACAAAGTTTTGTTCGATTGGTCTGATTTGCTGTGACTGGTCCAGAAACAGGAGTCACAGATGAATGGCCAAGAAGTGACTTGGTTTCCTGTAGAATCATTTTGATCCAGAGTGGGTGCCCCGTTGAATTTGCTGGATGGCTTCTCCATCACCCAGCAGCCCAAGGCTCCCTCCTCTCAGGACTCAGAGAATCAGGACTCTTCACACGCATTCTACACACACACACACACATCACCACCAACGACCAAAGGCAGCCACAGCCAGTGGGCCTTCACCCAGGACTGAGATGTCAGAATTCTGTGGTTTCACACAAAGAATGGGCAGGGCTTGCTCCCCAGGAAGGGCTAGCTCGGTGGGCAAACTCCAGGGAGAGGGGCAGAAAGGACAGGGGTTTGGGACAATCCTGTTGCAAATCCTGGCTTGTTCATTTGCCAAGAGGACCACAATACCTTCTAGGATCGTTCTGAAGTTTGAAAGACGTGTTGCACACACTGCTTGGCAAATAGTGAGCTCTCAAAAAAGAATTAGCCTTTCCTCCTGTAGCGTTGACCACCAAAAACTACACATCTACCATTTGATTGCGTAGGAATTTGGGAGTGACCCTACCCGCCCGACTGGAGCTATGGAAGAGCTCATTCTAAGCCCCCTCCCTTCATCCGTCCTGGGGGTGGGAGGTGGGGAGGGGGGGTAGAGGGGTCCAGGATGCAGGAAGCGCCTTGTTATTTTTCTTCTCCAGTTTGCTATCAATGCTCTGAGGGCAGGAAGGAGTCTTGCCTCTAATTGCAGCTGTCACCCCTCATCAGGCAGAGGGGAGATCAGCCAGGAGGGGAGGGGAAGGGGAGGAGAGAGGGTGTGCCTTCCCGGGCTGGCTCTGCCGGAACAGGGACCTGCATTGTTTTTTTCCCAGCCAGCGGGTGTTCCCGGCCAGAGTAAGGCAGGCTGGTGGCTTACAGGGGGACGGCTGGGGTGGTGTCGCCGCTTGGGCCACGTGCCCACCACCACTGCTTCAGAAGCTGAGCTGCTGCTTGGGGCCCTTTCCCTCCAGCCGGGCTGGTTCTGGCTCAGGTTGGAAGATGAGGCCCAAGGCTGCGCCTGGTGCAGAGGGAGGGAGGCAGGGGATGGAGCTAGGAACTTGAAATGAGTGCTTGGACAGTCTATCATTTGGGCACACCTTGGCCTCACTGGAGTATTCACACGCCCTATGTCCTGGGTGGGGGTTCAGCGCTGGAGACAGGGTGTTGGGGAGGAGTGTGTGTGCGCCCAGGGCCCAGCTGCTGCTCTCGGTCAGCCCTGGACTGGGCTGTGCTTGGACAAGGAGCAGGTCCAGCCTGCCTCCTCATCTGGAAAGTGGGGATAATACCCGCCTCACTTGCCCACTTACAAAGGCAGTAATAGATACGAAGAGGCTTTCCAATGTTTAAAGTGCTATACAAATATTATCGTTCCTCTATTTTTGGAAAGACAGTGGAGGCTACCCCAAGTACTCCGTATGCCTACACCCCTTATTCAGCCATTTCTCAGGATCCAGGTTCCTGAGGGGGGGGGGCGGAGTGTGAGATTTAATTCCTGTGCCTGCGAGAGCGCTTTGCCAGGGAAACAGTTATAAGGCTGGGACAGGAGAGACTTTACTGGAGGCCTCTCTGGGGAATCTGAGACCCCAGTGCCCTAACCCATACAGAATGTTAAAAAGAGGTCTTTGGGGGCAGTGAAGGAATGTCAGAAGGATTTCCTGGTTCCCTCCCCCTCCCCTGCTGTTACCTCCAGCCCCTTGTGAGACACACACACACACACACACACACACACACACACACACACACTCACCTCTTCCACCAGCCAGCCCATCACAGCCTCTCCCAACCACAGTCCTGCCTGCCCTGCCTCCTCTCCCTCCTTTCTGGGGCAAAGGAACTTGGAGTTAGGCTTTTGAAAGCCACTTGCCCACCCTCCTCCCCAGAGTCCCAGCTTCGGGACCTGGCCCTTTTGGGTTCAGTTCACTTTCTGTCTCTAGGATTCAGACCCAAACAGCTGTGTTAACATCAAAGCCAGAGGGCGATGCTTCCAGGGCCTTGGGGAAACTTGCGGAAGGGCTCTCCCCTTGCCTGGGCTCCGCTGTGCCTGGAAAGGGGAAGTGTCCGGAGCCCTTGGAATGGCTCCGCTTCTTAACCTTCTGCGAGCGTCCAGCTCGGGGCTCCGAGGATGTGGGTGTCACCCAGCCTGGTTTCTCCTTCAGCAGCCGGTCCCGGTCAGGCCGCACGCTCCGCAAGAACTTCCTGAAGATGTTTGCTGTCAGCGTGAACCTACGGCTGAGCTCCCGGGGCTGGCCCCTCTGTCCCTTGGACTCTCCTCCTTCCCCAGCCTCACCCTTTTCCCCACCCTTTTCCAGTTCTGGCAAGTCCAGCCAGTTGCCCACCAGGTCTGCAAAAACGTTGTCACCCAACACCAGAGGCTGTCGATTCCGGCCCCGGGACATCAACGTGGAGGTCCAGTCATCTGGTTCCAGCAGATCTGACCCCCGCTGGGCACAGCGTTGTTGCTCTGGCTGCTGTGTCCTGGGCTGGGGGGTCAGATCCCTCACACACACACTCCTATGGGATGGACACTTGCTGCTGTCGCTGCCGGGAGAAGATTGGCTGGAGGCAGAGTGTGTGACAGGCCTGGCATGACCTCTGCCACCCTCCCATCGAGAGGGCTGGGGCTGTGTCCGGGGACTTTCCGGGCAGCCTGGGACAGGACCCCCTCCAGAGATCTCCAGCTGTTCCAGGGCTGTCTGCACCTGCAGCAGCTTCAGCTCCTGCAGAGCTCCCATCATGCAGTTCATCTGATCCTGCAAGCCGTCGCCCACCTCCTTCATGGACACCTGTGGGGCAGAGAGAGACCACAGGGCCTGTGAGCCATGGGGGTGGGGGGGGGACGGCTGCCCCTCACTGGCCCTGAACCTAGACTGCCCTCCCTAAACACGCATCTCCAGAGTCATTCAGCCTGCCACTGACCCTACCTCTGTCCGGCCTAGGACAGTGCGGGCCGGCGCCGGGAGAGGAGGAAGTTTAACAGCGAGATGGCTGCATCGAGGAAATGACATTCACGGCCGCTGACTTGCAGGCACTCCATCGACTCTGTATAGATGCACGTGTATAAATAAGCCTATATCGAATCTCCCCAGCTGCTCCATGACGGAGTGACTATTGTCGCTCTCCTTTTACAGATGGGGAAACTGAGGCACGTAACTTTCTCAAGATTACACAGACAGAGGAGGAGCAGAGTCAGCTTGAGGGCGCACAAAGTTGTGGTGTGGGCAGACAGTCTTGGTCATTTTCTGCATCTGTGCTCTCTTCCTCCTCTGAGCCTCCCTGAGATGATGATGATATTTTATGAGCCCTTACCATAAGTAGTAATATGAATTGTGCTAAGGCCTCTACACACCTCATCTCATTTAATCTTTATATAAACCCTCTGAGGTTACTATTATTGTTCTCATTTGAACAAAGGAGTTAACCCTGGCGGGGGTGAGGTGACTTGCCTGAGGTCGCACTGTTCATAGGGCTGGACTCAAGCATAGGACATCTCACCCCAAACGCCCCAGTCCTAGCTACCAAGCACTGCTCGTTGCGGCTGGCAGTGGGACTGGCTTTAGGGGACCTTCAGGGAAGAGGAGCTCAAATCCCCGGAGAGAAAGGGTCGGTGGGGGCTTCCTTTCACTGCTGCTCACATCTGGCTGGTCAGGGGTGAGAAGGGAGGCCGGGAAGCTCCTGTTGGTGGAAACCCTTGCCCAGCTCTCCCCAGCTGTTCGCTCCCTTCCAAACACCTGTCCTGTCCCGGCTGCTCAGCCCTGGCTCCAGTGCTCTCCCTGCCTTTTCAGCCCAACTGGCGCTGCTGCCCTGGCCCAGAGTGGGGACACTGGAGGCCAGTTCCCCAGCCCCTTTGTGGGCGTCGAAGGCCCAAGTCCCAAGTGCCAGCTGGAAGGGGCTGAGAGATTGACTTGGGTGAGGGCCGAGTTTGGAGGCTGGGCAAGGGATGCTTCGTCTGATAACATTCACGAGGTTCCGTCCTGGGCCCAAGCTGCCTTGGTCCCGCCAGCTCCCTCCCTAGATCTGCTCAGGTTACCAACAGCAAACCTCCTGTGCGGGGACCATCTGTTTCTTAAGCCCCCCAGAGACCCGTGGAGATCATCTTACCTCCCGGGCCTCGTCCTCATGCGCACAGCTAAGCCCACAGGGTGGAGCGCTGGAGGGCTTGGGAGAACGGTACGGAGGCTGCAGGGCTGCACAGGCAGCTGACCCTCTCAGGCTTCAAGGTCAACCCCTCCCCTGCCGACCCCAGCCTTGGCAGGGAGATAGGCCTGGCGGAGCTCTCCTGAGCCAGCAGCACTAATAGACAATGGAGGACTGACTGTCCCTAGGGGCAGAGAGGCCTTTGCTGAGCGGGGAATTGCCCACACTCCACACATTCCCCCAGACAGAGCAAGAAGTGGCGGTGTTCGGGGCCCTGACTGCCCTGGGGTTTGCCAGACTGCCTGGGCAAGCACGCTCCACTTGGGTGGCAGCAGCGAGAGACACAGCCTGTGGGGTGACTGTGCTTGCTGATGGTCCCTCACTCCTACCTCTTTGGCATTCAGCTCCCTGACCCCTCCCTTTTGGCTGCAGCTGGGAAGACGCAGCACAGGGTCAGAGGAGACACTACGCGCCAAACCGAATTCCTCAAGGTCCCTTCCAGGAAACTGCTTCTGTGACTTCCCGATGCCTGCCCTGTCCCTCATACCACTTTCCTCCTCACCCCAACCTGGAACCTCAGGCCATCTTGGGCTCTTCCACCCAACTGCCCCTGTTCCTATCCCCAGATGTGTCACATCTGCCTCTCCATCCCCTGAAAGGCAGAAGCCTCCTCGAAGGCCTTCCAGCCACCAGATCGGCCTTCCCAACACACATCTCTGATCACGGCACTCACCACTCAGAATCACATCTCTACTCCCACATCATCACTTCTTCGGCAAAGCTGAAAAGGCTCTTCCCTGTATCCAGGGACTCGAGGCCCTGCCCCAGTCCCTCTAGACGTTGAAATGCTCAGCCACTCAGGCAACATTTATTGCGGATGTACTACTTGAGGGAGGGTCTGAGATCTGTACATTGTGATATTTCCCCAGACCCTAGCCATCATCACCTTGCATTTGCTACATACCCACAAAGCATATACTGAGTACCCCCAGAATACCCCCCAATCATCCCTCCAGACTGCTTGCTGCCCTCAGACTGTAACTCACCACGCAGGGAGAGTCAGGGATACATCTCAAGGTTTCATTTCACCCAGAGGCAAGGAGTCTGAGCTAGCAGGCTTCCTTCCAGAAGGCTGAACGCAGTCCAGGTCAGAGGCGGTGGGAGGAATGAAATGATCCCATTCAATCTCTTCCAACATGGAAAAATCTTTAAGACATAATGCTGACATTTTGTACCATTTTCCAGTGAGGATGAATGCGTGGATATGTATGAATTCAGGGCTGCCCATAACACAGAGGCCCCATTTAAGTAAACAACAGCTGAAATTACACCCACATGGAAAATGATAGTCTGTATTGGTTGAGATCTTGGGTTCTGGAGACAAATGGGACAGAGTTCAAATCCCAGCTCTACCATGTAATAACTGTGTGATCTGGGCAGGTTATTTAAGTTCTATTTTCTAATTTCTCCATTCTTTCCTTTCATTTAAAAATTTTTTTTATTTATTTTTTATTTTTTTTAGATTTTATTGGGGAGTTGGGGGAGGGGAACAGTGTTGGGGAGTTGGGGAAATGGGACCAGCTAAGTTGTTCTTCAGTCTTCGTTATGGAGGGCGCCAGTCGCCATCTGGTTTCCCGTCAGCAGCTCGTGGCCTCTAAGCTCAAGGTGCTGTGTTTAGTCTTAGTTGCGGGTGGGCGTAGCCACCATCCCATGTGGGATTCGAACCAACAGCCTTGTTGTTAAGAGCACAAGCTTTATCCACTGAGCCATCCGGGCAGCAGCTCAGCTCAAAGTGCCGAGTTCAGTCCTAGTTGCAGGTGGGCGTAGCCCGCCATCAAACAGGCAGTCTTGTTGTTACACCAGCTGAGTAATCCTGCTACCTGTTGGCAGCTCAGCGACAGCTCAGCTCGGGCGCAGTGTTACTGGCCCATATGGGAATCGAACCAGCAGCCCTGTTGCTCAGAGCTCGCACTCTTAAGACAACTCTTAACCAACTGAGTCACTTGGCTGGCCCTCTCCATTCTTTAAAATAGGAATAAGAGTTCCTGCCTCGAACAGTTTTGGACAGATTGGCTGAGGTAGTATGTGTTTCTGTGTGGCCTAGAGGTGAATTTGGGCTGTTATCTGATTTTAAGGCTTCCTAAGAACTCCCAGAACATTTCTTCCTCAGTGAACCTTAACGTAGAGTAATGACTGGATTCCATTCATCCATGTGGTCTGAGTAGAATCACATCTCCTGTCCTGTCCCTTCTCTCCCACCCCCACCCCACGCAGAGGAAGGAAAGGGGAGCCTTGGCATCCTCCTGCCCATAGTCTCACCATGGAGTGTTGACATGGAAGGTGAGGAGGCAGCTGTGAGCCGGATGGGAGCGGAAGAAGGAAGCCCGAGTATAGGAAACGGGGAGGCCAGGGAAAGGGGGAGGCAGGGGCGTCAGCTGGGTCTTAACTGAGCAGTGAGCGGCCTTTCCCACCCAAGGGGAATGATGTCACCCCAGGAGAAAGGGCCAGGGGGCAAGCTGTTGTCTTGTCCAGAGCGTGGGACCGGCTCGGATCCCAGGGTCTCTCCTGCCTCAGAAACCCAAGAGGGAAAAGAGAGAGAGAGAGAGAGAGAGAGAGAGAGAGAGAGAGAGAGAGAGAGAGAGAG